TGCAAGGGGTGGGGCAGGGAGGGCATTCTGTGAAATTTACTCAGGCCCAATTTGTCTGCATCATTATCTTTTCATGCCTCTGCACAAGTGTTTCCTAAGAGACAGCCTGCAAGTTTGTGTGCTTCTGGCCAGTGGGGGAGAGAGCCTGCCGGCACAGATGCAGCCCCACACCCCCCACTGCCAGCTCTGAGGCAGCCTGTGGGAGCAGACCCCACCAAGAGACCCCTGGCCCAAGGGGTGGGACAGGACAAGGCTCCTGGCAGCTGCACACCACAGGCCCAGGATCAAGCCAGGAAGGACAGATCAGAAGGACTTTGTGCTACAGGAAGGGAGCCCATCATCTCCGTGTTATCCTGGGCTTGTAGAGCGGGTCCTGTGTGGCTCAGGGTGCACCAGGGAGCAGAGCATGGGCCTGACAGGAGGGTACGGAGGTGGGAAGAGCAGGCGGACAGTTGTCCTCAGGCTGAGGGGCCTCCCAAGGCCACTCTGAGTGATGGTGGTTTCGGAGCAGCAAGCAGAGAGTTCCTGTCAAGGTGGGTGATGTGGGGAGCAGCGGGGGGCAGGGCTGGCAGGATCAGATCCCCCATGTGGGGCTGAGAGCCATTGGGGGTGCAGGGGGAGCATGGCACAGAGGGGAGCCGCTGTCCCTGTCCAGAGCAGACTGGCTGGGGCTGGCTGGGAATGGTAGAGGAACGACAGGTGGGAGGATTGGCAAGGCCCAGTTGGATGGACCATTACAGAAACCGGGTATCACAGTTAGAATTAGCTAACTCCAGGTGGCAGTGGCTGGTAAACAAGGACTTATGTATGCTTCTGTCATGAAAAGCCCTAAGGTGGGTGCCCCAAGCTGGTGAGAAGCCACCATGGTGCCACTAGGGCCTCCTCTCTTCCTGGCATCAGTCCATAGGGCCTCCATCCTAAAGGCTACCTCTTGGTCCAAGCTGGCTGCTGGGGCTCCAGCCATCACAGGGTATGGAGAAGGAAGGGAAGGGTATGTGCCTTCATTTCTTGTGAGGAGCCTTTTCAGGAGCCCCTCATGGGAAAGAAAGACACACACACTGCTCATGTTGCCTTGGTTACACAGCAGTGTCCAGCTGCCCAGAAAGCAGAAAATGCTGTCTTTTGTCCAGCTCCCAGCAGCTCTTATGTCCAGGCAAGAGGGTGAACAGAACCACCCTCAGCCGGCTGCTCTGAAGAGGTCTTCATAGGGCTGTCTGGGATGGAGTGGGACATGCATCCTGGAGTTATCACCTGCTGTGGGGGAGGGGGTCCCCCATGGACCTGTGTGCCACTGTGTCTACAGGTGACCATCCCTACATCCTGAGAATGACCTACTTGAGTCCTGCCCTCCCTCCCCCAGCTGTTACCACCTGCTGCCCCTGGGTGCCTCAGGCTATATGTCCAGCCTCACCCTCCCCATGTAAATGCCACGCCCTTCAGGAAGCCTGACCTGATCCCCCAGAAGCATAGGAAGGTCCCTCTGAGCTGAGTCACAGTTCCCAGAGTCATGAGAACCTCAAGTGGACCAGGGCAGCAACCTGGGGACTCCACATTAGGCCCTGGGTGCCACTTTGGGATGAGGGACTGACCCCTCAGGCTGGCTTATGAGGTCACAAGGGATTAACTGCAGGTGAGGGAGGAGGAACAGGAGGCGCACAGACAGTGGCTGGTCGTGGTTGGCGGCACCCCTAAACCCCGGGAGGACTGTGTGGCTAAGGAGGCCACAGAGGAGCCGTCTACTGCCATGGGGGTGGAGGCCGTGTGGATGGGGGTGTGGTGGCGGTGGCTGTGGGGAGCCAGGACAGCAGTGAGGTGGGCTGGTGTGCAGGTGCGGGGGAGGGGGCTAGGGGAGCAAAGGAACAGCAGCAGAACAGCGAGCAGTGGGGCAGGGCATGGCTCAGGTGGACGAGCTGGTGAAGAGACCCATGGAGACAGCGAGTGGGGACCGTGTTTGGGGGACCTGGCTTGGAAGGGGGCAGCCCAAGGCCACACAGGGTGGAGCAGGAGGGTGTGGACACTGCCTGCAGGAAGAGAGGGTGAGGAGGGCAGGCGCTCTGCGGGTTGGGCGTCGGTGGCGAGTGGCTGGAGCTGGCAGTGGAGGGGCAGGGGGCCATGGAGACAGGGAAGTGGATACAGTGGGCATGGCAGCAGGCTGCCAGCCAGGTGAGTGTCCCTGGAGGGCGAGGCCCAGGTGGTGCAGGTAGGCAGGAAAGCCAGCAAAGCTGCCAGGGTGGCAGGTATGCAAGCAGCCCCATGTCCATTCTCCCCTCCTTAGGAGTTAAGTCACCACCAGCTCTAAAAACTACATTTCCCAGCCTCCCTTGGCTAGGAGCGGTCATGTGACTAACCTGTGATCAGTGAGTTGTGAGCAACTGTGTTAGGTGGGCTCCTGGGAAGGTGCCTTAAAAGGCAAAGGGGTGTACCCCTCTTCTCCTATCTACCTGTTTGCTTCCTGGAATGGGGATGTGATGGCCGGAGAGTCGCCCTCCATTTGGGTCTGTGAGGATGGAGACCCAGCCCAGGGATGCTGTAGCAGCCAGTGGGACGGATGAGAGTTTCCAAGGACTCTGTAGGTGTCATAGCTGCCTGGGGCTGTGAGCCACCGGATTTCCCTCACAAAAGAGAACATGAATACTCCTCCAATGTGTCTTCATTTGGATTTTCTCTTTCATGCAGCCAAAGCCAATCCTAATAACAAGGCACCACAGAGCTCCAGCCGGGGCTGGGCATGGAGGGAGGAGGGCAGGGCTGAGTGGTGTGGGGACTGGCATCATGGGCAGACAGCTCTGCCTGTCTGGGCTCAGCTGTTCCCGGGCAAGAGCTGGGGTCAGTGGGTGAGGGGAGCGCCCCCAGCAAGGCCTCCAGGGAGTCCTGTATTTGTCTGGGCTCATACCAACAGGGCCTGTGCCTTGCTGGGCAGGAGACAGACATGACAGGCTGTGTTCTGGGATGATGGGAGGATGCGGCCTGCAGCCAGGACTGGCCCAAGGAGCCTGAGGAGGGACCACCGTCCCAGAGTGCACTTGGATCCCGCCAACTCCACAGTGGGACACCATGGTGGGCGGGGGGCCATGCAGAGAGGCTGGGAGAACCAGCACTCACCTCTGCCTCTAGCTCAAGCCAGGAGTGCCCAGGCCTGGAGGTCTGAGCACCACGGAGGCACTGAGCCGACTCCCAGTAAGGCTGTAGGGGGTCCACCTAGTGCTCTCCTCCTTGCCCTCCGAGGGCTGTGAGGCAGCAGTGCCCTGAGCCCAGCAAGATGGGCTTGGGTTGATGGGCTGGCCTTCTCTGGCCTGTCCTCCCCAGCGCCCAGGAAAGGGATGCCTTTCCTCCCCAGCTCCCAGGAAGGGGACGCCTGTCCTCCCCAGCACCCAGGAAGGGGCGACACCTGTCCTCCCCAGTGCCCAGGAAGGGGACACCTGTCCTCCCCAGCTCCCAGGAAGGGGACGTCTGTCCTCCCCAGCTCCCAGGAAGTGTAGGCTGTGGCTTTCTGCCTGGCAGCCCCTCCAGCCAGCTGGGCTAAGTGCACACTAATGCTCATGATTCAGTGTTAGGCCCAGAGCCCTCTGGAACTTTATGGAGCTCTGGGTCTACTCTGTCAGCTGTCTATCCCCTGGGTGCCTGGCCTCCGTGGTGAGACCTAGAGTGTCCGCACCATCTCCACATCTCCCATTGGATTCAGCAGATTTGAGCCCTCCCCTCCCTGCCGCACTGGCCATGCTGAGCTCTGCCAGCGGGAAGCCCTGCTCTGGGGGCTGACCACCTGGCACGGCTACTTGGCACAAAGCGTCCTGGTGCCAGGGCTGTGCAGGTGCACAGCAGAGTGGGGGCGGCAGGTGGGGTGGCCCCGGAGGGGAAGGAGGCCAGCTGCAGCAGTGGGCAGGGTGGTCCTGGCCTCCTCTACACCCCACCCCACCGGCTGCCCGATGGGCGCTGTGGGGGCTGCCCCTCAGCGGCCCTGCACCTGCTAGTGACGGTGAAGCCAATGAGGGCTCTGTCTACTCCTGCCTCGCTCCCCAGCTCGGCCTCAGCCCTCCCTGGACTGGACAGTGGCCCGCTACCCGGCAGGGACAAGCTCCGAGGGCTCCGTGGCGCCTGGCACACGGAGGGGAGCCGCAGGCCTAGGGAAGGCGCCCGGGCGCAACCACTTCCTCCGCAGCGCAGGGCCCAGGAGCGCCGGGCATCCTGCTCCACCCAAGCGCCCAGAGCGCTGCCATGGGGCCCTCTCATCCCAGGCTCCCGCGCCGCTGCCTCTCCCCTCCCGGTTGCCAGGGCGCCCGGAGCACGGCCGCGAGTCGTCGGAGGAGAGGTGTGGGCTCAGGGCCAGAGCGCTGGGCGCCCCGGGGGCCTGGCTTGCGGGCAGCTCCGGCGCTCTGGGGCAAGCCGCTCAGCCCGGGGAGCCGCCCGGGGTCATCCCTGCCGGGCCTGGGGGCTCCCGTGTCCGACGCGAGCCGCCCGCCCCAGCCCGGTGCTCTGGGTGCGGGGGGCCCTGGTGGGCGCCCGGGGGGCAGTGCTGCTCCCAGCCCCGACCCCCGGCCGGCTCGGTCCCCCGGGCTTCCCTAAGGCCGCGCGGAGGGGGAAAGGGCGTCCCTGAAGGCCCGGGTCGGGAGGGGGAAGGGGAGACGCGGGACCGGGACGCTAGGACAGCGGCCGCAGCGGCCCAGCCCCGGGCGCCGCGGTGGGGGTGAGGGTGGGGTGGGGTGGGGGTGGGGCAGGCGCCCTCGGAGGGCGCAGACCGGCCACGCGACCCCCAGCCGGTGGGCACATGGGGTCCGACAGCCCGGGGCGCCTCGGGCGCGGCAGCGCGGGAGCCTGAGGGGACGCAGTGCAGCCTCCTGCGGTTTATTGATTGAGTAAAGTTCAGCAAAGTGCTTCCGAGCGGCCGAGCCCGGCCCCGACGCGTACAGTCGTTTACGAACGTAAAACTCTCCTGCGGCAACCGGCTGTCTACAGAGCGCCCAGGGGAGGCCTCCCGGAGCCCGGCCCGGGCCCCGCCGCGCTCAGAGGTGCGGCGCATAGAAGGCGGGCGCGCCATAGGTCTGTGAGCCCAGCACGAAGGGCGACAGCACCGCCGGGCTGGACAGGAAGGGCAGCTGCGCGGCGCACACCAGGCCGCCGGGGCCGTGCGCCGGGTACCCCGCGGGGCCGTGCATGGCGAGCGGCGCGCCCATGGGCGGTGACGGGCTGAGCGGGCTGAGGCCCCCGGGCAGCCCGGCCCCCGGGCCCGCGCCGGGTCCCGGAGCCCCGCCGCCGCCGGTCGGGGCGCTCGTGTCGGCGCCCGGGTTCTGCTTCTTCCACTTGGTGCGCCGGTTCTGGAACCAGATCTTCACCTGCGTCTCGGTGAGGCTTAGCGACAGCGCCAGGTTGAGGCGCTCGCACACCGACAGGTAGCGGGTCGCCTTGAACTTGTTCTCCAGAGCCACCAGCTGCTCGTAGGTGAAGGCGGTGCGCGCGCGCCGCGGCTTCCCGGACTTGGAGTCGGAGCCCGTGCGCTTCCGCTTGGGCTTGGTGGCCGCCGCCGCGCCCTGAGGGGGGGTCCCCGCGCCCCCTGCCGCCGCCGCCGCCGCCGAGGCTCCCGGCGGGCCCGGGGCTCCGGGCGAGCTCCCGCGGGGGCCGGGGGCTGCCGCCTCCTCCACCGCGCTGGGGGGCGCCTCCGCCTCGGCCGCGCCCGGGCAGCCCGACCCGCGGGCCGCGAGGCCGCCGCCGCCTCCCCGCGCCTCCTCCGCGCCGCGCGCCGTCCCCGCGTCGGGAGCCCCGTCCTCGTCGTCGTCGTCGTCGTCGGGCGCCTCGTCCCCGCTGTCCGCGCTCGGGCTGCGGCCGCCGCCGCCGCCGCTGCTGTAGCCGCCGGCCTCGGCCTCGTCCGCCTTGTAGGGGTCGCCGGCGTCTGCGGGCGAGCGGGCCGGGAGGACACACAGTTAGGACGCGGCGCCCTGCCCGCGCTCGGCCCCGCGCCCCCCGCGCCCCGGGAAGGGGCCCCCCTCCTGCTCCGCTGCTCCTCTCGGGGATCGGCTCCCTCCCCGCTTCCTCCGGGGCGGGGTCGTCCCGCGTCCCTCGTCCCCCGTCCCTCCGCGCCTCCCTCCCCGGCCCGCCTCTTCCCGCCGCTCCGAGCCTCCCGCAGCAGGTCTCCCCGGGCCGGGCCGGCAGGGCCGCGGGTTTACCGCGGGCTGAGAGCTCCGATCGATCCGCGGGGCAGATACAAACTTAATTAAACTCATTTTGTGTAATGTACAAACTAGTTAACGGCCATTTAATTTATTTCGGCGTATATTACCCTCCAATTACGGAAAGGCGTGGACCGGCCAATTACCGGGCATTTGAGAGCCTGCTGCCAGCGGCCAGTGGTGGGGCTGGACCGGCTGCAGGGAGGGGACTTCGGGAGACCCAACTGGCTGCTCTGGCCCCCGTTTCCAGCTCCAGCCGCCGGTCCCGGCTTCGCAGTCCTCCCCGCTCGATGGAAAGCCCCGCCAACCTGGGTCCTACCAGAGGCTCTGGCCTGGAGGTTCCGGCCTGTGCAGTGCTAGGTCGGGGGCTGTCCCGGCTAGGCCCAATCTGAGCAGCAGCCCCAACCGTCCAAGCAGAGGCCCCTGAGGTGGCTGCATTTCTGGCCTGGAAAATTTGGAAGGCAGGATATCCTACGCAGGGCCTGGGAGCGCGTCTATAACGACTGTACCCCCACAGGTGGTAGCACCACTAGGAGAAAAGCCAGGGCATGTGCCCAGCATGGTGCTACCCAGTCCGGCTCCAAGGGCCCGACTGTTGAGTCAGGTTGGCATAATTGTCAAACTGGGTGCTAGCACACTTATCCAGGGCACCTGCAGAGGTTGCAGGGAAGTCAGCAGGGCAGATGGGCTGCCCCCCTACCTACACCCCTTAGCAGGAGCAGGGGCTGTCCCCTAGGGGACCCTGAGAACACCTGGCCATCCAGCTTTGCCATGTCAGGAGTAGTCTGAGGAGGAAAAGGACCTGACCTGGCTCCCTCCCTGAACCTGTGAAAGACAGGGCCTTCCGCTACTGGGATGGGCCCCCAAGCTGGTGGAGGCTCTGGGTGGAGACTCCGCGAACCCTGGCTAGGCCAAAAGCGGGAAGGGTTCCCCCCAGCCAGCCTGGGTTTGCTCTTCCTTCAAGTCAACCCCACCTGGAGCTGGCGAGCCCAGGCACCCCAGGCCCCTCTGCCCCAGCACAGCGGCCCCAGCCCTGTCCACCCTGCACTCCCGTCCCTGCTCCTGCTCTGCGGAGGGGCTGGGAAGTTGCAGGGAGGAAGGGCCGGAGGAGGGGGCACCAAAAGCAATCAGGAGCCGGTCGAATGCAATTCTCGATCAATAGCGGCCCCTAATAAGTGTAATAGGTTTTAATCGAGTAATTATCCGAATTTTGACCCTATAATTTAGATGTTCGGGGGGAGTTTGCAAGGTGCTTGAAAGAGATATGCATGCTGCCGTAATGGGATATCGACCGGGCCGGGGGCGCGGGCCGCCCCATTACCGGCCGCTTTCCGCCGCTAAGCACATTTCCCCTTAACTGTAATCGAAGGGATTTAATTGTTTTTCCAGAGATAACCAGCGTTTTGTCACAATTAGTCTGATTTGTCCAAAAAAAAAAAAAAAAAGGAGAAGGAGGAAAGAGGGAGGGAGGCCTCGGGCGGCCGCGGTGGGGCGGGGAGGTCACGGGCCCGCCGCCTCGCAGGTCCCCTCCTCCTCTGGCACCAACCGCCTTCCAAGGCCGGCCCTGCAGCCCCGAAGCCCCGGGACCGGCCCGGGCGGAGCCATCCCGGGAGGCGCGGCACGGGCCCCGGAGTCCGGGTCGGACGGAGCCCCGCGCGCTGCGAACTTTGCACCGAGCCTCGGCACACCGCCGGCCCGGCTCGCCGAGGGGCCCGGGAGCGTGAACGCATAGATGCGGCCCGTCTCCCGGCTCCCGCGACCGGAGCGGGCCGCGTCCTACTCACGCGGCGGCTCAGCTCCGGCGGCGGCTCCAGCTCCTCCTCCTCCCGCGGCGGCGAGGGCGCGGCGCTCCAGCTCCTCTGCGCGCGGCGGGCGTCCCGGGGCAGCGGGGGCCGGGGCGCACGGGCCCGGGGCGCACGGGGCGCACGCGGCGGGCGCCACGGGGCCCAGAAGCACACAGCGGCGTCTTCTGCTGTTGAACTTGTTGGGGTCCAGAATGTCCAGCACCGAGAAGGAGGTGGGGCGCGGCGGCGGGCCAGGCCGGGCCGCCCCGGCCCCTTCGGGCGCCGCGGGCACCGTGTCGCTGGCGGCGAGCGGCGGGGGCCCGGCCCGCGGGAAGGCGGGCAGCTCGGCGCGCCCGTCCATGGTGTCCCGGGCGGCGGCGGCGGCGGCGGCGGGCGCGGGCGGTGCGGGCCCCGGGCCGGGCCCGGGCGGCGGCGGCTGCAGCGCCGGGCCGTCCCCGGGAGCCGCCGGGCCGCTGGCGCTCATGCCGGCCTCCCGCCGCTCCGGCCGCTCGGGCCCCGGCGGCTACTGGGCTCCCATCCCCGGCGGCCCTGGCGCCGCCGCACGATCTGGCGCAGGCGGCCGCGGCCCTGCCGGCTCCCGGCGCCGTGCCCCGCGCTCCGCCGCTGCTGCCCGGCGCTGCCTCCGCCGCCGCCTCAGGCGCCCGCCGCGCCCGGCCCGCGCATTTATGGCGGCCCCGCCGGCGGCGCCCACGCGCCCACACGCCGCACACACGTGCGCCCGCAGGCGGCCGCGGGGCTCCGCCGCCCTCGTTAGCGCGCGCGCCTAATTGGTTGCGAACGGCCCCGGGCGAAGGAGGCGGGCCCCGCGCGGGACACACGGACGGAGCCCCGGGCCCGACCGACAGACGCTCAGCCGGGAGCCCGAGTGCGGGCCGCCAGCGGCTGTCGCGGTCGGCGGCGCCTCGCCGCGCCTCCGCTCGTCCAGAAACGGTGCGCTGCCTCCTGGGCGGAGGGGGAGGAGACAGCCCTGGCTTTTAAATAATTGCGGGATCAATCGGCGGAGGGGCCGCGGAGGCCCCGGGGCGCACGGGCGGGCGAGCGCTAAGACTCGGCCGGGACATCCCCGCGCGGGACGCGGCGCCCAAGCGGCCCCTCCTCGGCCCGCAGGCGCGCGGTCCCGGCCCTCGGGCGGCCCCTCGGCGGCTGGGGCCGGGGTGGGGGAGGTCGTGGGGCAGACTCTGGGTGTCTTCCGCGCGGTCCGTGCACCTCGGTCGCGCCTCTCCGGGTCGCTCCTCTCGGGGCCCCCTCTCGCGGCTCTGTCCCTGCGGCCCCTCCCGCTCCCGCCCCCTTCGCGTCGTCAAACTGGGGCCCGGCCTTGTGTCCCCGCGAGGGGCGGGGCCGGAGGCCCCTGGGTCGCTCATTAGTAGTGGTATCGAAAATGAGGGAGGCTGGACGGTCCTCCCGCCCCCGCCTACGCCCCCGCCCCCGCCCCCAATCGGGGACCGGGGAATCGTACGGACAGCAGGCGGCCTACGTACAGATCGATACCCTTCAGGTAGGGGGACACACGGCGGCAAACTCCTGCACCCCCGCGCGCGGAGACTTGAGAAGCCCCTCGGTCCCGGTCTCTATTTGTGCATATTTATCTACAGACGAGACTGTTTGCGCCGCCCGGCCCCCGGCCCTCGCCCTCGGAGGGACCGGCCAGCGTCCGCGTCCGAGGGTAAGCCCCTGGCTGCTCTCGCAGCGCCCTTCCTGGTCCCCGCCGCTGGTGGAACCCAGGTGGGAGCCGGCGGTGGGGGCGCGCGTGCGGGGGTCTTCAGGGTGTGAGACTGTCTCTGACGGCCGTGAGTGTGCACGCAGGCGTGTGCATGAGCAGTGTGCGCGCCACCCGACACTGCGGTCCCCGGAGCCTGCTCCACACACAAGGACGGGTCCTTTGCAATTACCGCGGGCAATGATCCTTTGGAAGCAGAAATTAAAAGTTGGGAGAAATAATGGGGGACCAATCGGCTGTAATTTGGGCCAACCTCGGACATGCTGAGCCTCAGGGAGGCTGGGACTGGGGGGGAGGTAAGGCCTCCCCTCTCCCAGCCCGTCCCCTCCCCCGCACACTGGTCCATCCCGAGATTCTAATCAGACCCACAACACTGTGTCCTTCCTTGCCAGGACTTGATTATTCTTTATCTTTAAATTATAAATCACCTCTGGGGGAAGGAGGGTGGATAATCTCTCATCACAGGGAGGTAATTATCTCCTTCCCGCCCCCACCTTCCTGGCGGGACTCTTGGGCTCTCTCTGCCCCTCCCCCAGCTAAGTTTGAATATAGATGTGCACACACACACATATACATACACACTCATTCAGCAGCACGCGCCACATACAATCTCAGATTCATTCATGAGCACCTGGGCACACCGTGTCAGGCGCATGATTCACAAACGCATTCACCACCCTGCAGCGGGCCTCAGCAGCGCCCACCAGGTCTTGGTTCCCTCTTTATTCTTTCCACGAGGACGGCACTCAAGGCCCCTACCTGCCCCTCTCCCACGCCAGGCATAGCATGAAGTGCCCTCGGGCAGGTCCCAAGTGCAGACCTCTGACCTGTCTCTGGGTAGCTGAGTTCCAATGTGACCTAGAGCATCACAGCCCCTCATGTGTGCTCACACTCCATGCCACACAGGACCTGTCCCTATCTACCACCAGTCACCACGGGAGGTACAAATATGGCAGTCACCGGGTGGGCAGGTGCTGGGTGTGTGCTCTCACCCCCATTACATACACCTGCAGGTGAGAAAGAGAAGTGTGAGGCCTCTTGGTACATCTTTCCTTCAACACAAACACACAAAGTGAAGTTTTATATAATGTAGATGTAGCACAATGTATGGTATCACTAAAACATAGTAAGTAGAATACAGTATATTAAGTATGATACGTAATAAACATAATGAAATAACATATTGTAATACACAACCAAACATATTCACACAGCACAGTAGGATGTGCTCCCTGCTGAAAGGTGGGGGTTTGACTTGGACAAAAGTGCCATGACTGTCCTGGAATTTGGAGGTGCCAAGGTTCTCTTCCTTGGTCCTCCTCTCCCCTCTCTTCCCTGCCCTGAATAGTCTAATGGGAATTGCAGCAATCAGAGTAATGAACTGCAGGGTCTGACCCAGGGGAGCAGAGGCAGGGTAACGGGTGTGATGGGAAGCCCCCAGCGCTACATAGGGGACCTTGCATCATGTTCTCACGTGAAGAGGAGCTGCTACATGAGGACAAGAGTCAGGGAGATCATGGCATCTGCTCCTGCCCTCCCCTTCCCCTACCTCTAAGAAACAACCAAAGTCCTGGGGACACACAGCACCAGTTCTACTCTCTCTGATACCTGGGAACAACCCTCCCCTCCCCCCAACTTCAACTCAGAGCATCCAGGGCTATAAAGACGTCCTTTCGCTCCTAATCACAATTGATTGTCAATTAGACCCTCATTTGTGCAATCTTTGCCCATCTGCCATATCGGGTTATCTCCAAGCCACCAGCCTCACTTGCTGGGCCCCAGGTGGGCACTGACAGGTGAAATCAGTGCCTGAGATAGGGATGCCTCTGCCTACCCAGTGGACAGGAGACACCCCTTCATTGCTAAGCCTCCACTCACTGTACATCAGCAGGACCAGATGGGGTCTTCGGCAGGCTGGGGGAGGGGCTGCACAAAAGCAGGAAACAAATGGAACAAGTGTAGAAATCTGGAGGAGGGTTTGGTTGTAAAAAGTCTGAGAAGTGATGGGGGGGCGGAGGGGAGTAGTGGGTGAGGGCTGTGATTATGCAGAAGAGGAAGGGGAGGTGTTTGGGAGAGGGATTGTGGAATGCTGAGCATCCAGCCCGTTCAATCCATGGCCATATGCTCTCCTCAGCATCAATTTTTTGGAATTTTGGAGTGCAAAAGAGCAGAAAGGGTGTCCTGTCACTGCCACTAACTTATGTGTTTAGGGGGCCTCCTTTCTTTTGCACCTGGAGAGCTTTACTGGACAGGGTGGAGGGGCAGCATGTTCTGGAGTCTTCAGGGCATGTGGATGGATAACCCTCACTTTGTATAATGTTTGCTTCATACAAAGCACACCCCACCGCAGACTGCCCAGGGGCCTCCCAACATCGCTGTAAAAGATGCAGGGAAGGGACTGTCACCCCCATCTACAATTAGTTCTGACTCCTTGCGTCCATACTGGGTCCAGCTGATGGTATAGTGCTGGCTCTGAACGGGCCAACCTTCTGTGCACCTGTGGGAAGGATACAGGAGGTAGAGGCGGAGAAGGAGAACAGAAGCCTTCTCCTTTTGCTCCCTTTGACTCTTCACCCGCTGGACTCCATGGTGAACTCTTTTGCTCACCCAGAGTTTGGAAAACAAGAGGGGAACTTTCTCTGCTTATTGACTTCTTTATTTATCTTCTTTAAAATATAACTCTCCTGAGGTCTTTTGATTTCTCAAACAAAGGTATCCCACACTCAGAACAACAGAGAAGAAAGGAAATACCGGCGGCTGGCTGCGCCTGCGGACCCCACAGCCGCGGCACCAGGGCCATCCTCGGATCCATGGAGAGCGCCAAAGCACGTCAGCACCACGGACAGCGCACCCAGGCTGCGCCTGCGCCCGCGGTCAGCACCGCGGAGAGCGCAACAGCGTCCTGGCGTCTCCGCTCTCCCTGGTTATCACCCCGCTGTGACATCTGCGCCTGTCCTTGGCTGTCTTCCTCATATTCTGGGACACCCCAAAGGAGGAAGACGGCGGCAGATTGTGTGTGGTGTGGCGTCATGGCACAGTGTATGCTATGCCCCAGTTCATTCACCATGGCCAACTAAAAGGCCAGATTTTTACGAGGTTTTCACTGCCTGGATTTGAATGCTTCTGTTTGTAAGCTTCCATGAGAGTTCAAAGATGATAAGCGCTGGGCCTGGTTCCCGGCAAGGGGTCAGTCAAATGCAAAGGTGAAGTTTAAATCCTTTCAACTTAAAAACAAAATCCCAAATCATCAAAACGGAGAGTGGCTCTCGGGCTGTGGAATCAGGGGTGCTATGTGCAGAGAGTAGGGCACCCAGCTCCCATGTCAGCACTGGGGAGGAGGCTGCCAGCTTCCTCTCTTGGCCTCGGAGGACATCCTAGCTCCAAAGGGTTTTCTGACCAGAGGGTAGGACAGGGGTGAGGATTACCACCTCACAGATGGGTGAATGGGGGATGAAGAGGATTGATCTCATGCTCAATGTCATCCAGCCAGGATGTGGTGGAACTCTGATGTGAATGTTGTGTCCTACTGATGCCAGCATTCTTAATGTGCAAAGCAACAGATAATCAACCACCAGGTGCCAAAGGGAAGGCAGTCCAGGTGGGGTGCCTAGAAGGGTCTTGGCCACTGCAGGCTCTCCCTCTTCAGAATGCCCCCTGTTGCCTTTGGTCTTTCAGCTGCTTTGCTCGTCCTTCTTACAGGGCAACAAGGATGTCCAGGTTCAATCATACCCATGATGGCCACCTTC